AACCCCTTGTCTGATATATTGCTGGTAAATATTTTTTCCCAATTAGTTGGTTGTCTTTTTAGCTTGGTTGCAATAGATTTAGCTATGCAGAAGCTTTTTATTTTAAGGTAGTCCCATTTGTCGAGTCTCTCTCCAATTGTTGTGACCCTGGGACTCTGTTCAGGAAGTTCCTTCCTGTGCCTATTAGTTCAAGTGTTTCTCCTACTCTGTCCTGCAGTAGTTTCAGAGATTCAGGTTTAATGTTAAGGTCTTTAATCCATTTTGAGTTGATGTTGGTGCATGGTGATAGGCTGGGGTCTGCTTTTAGTTTTCTGCATGTGGCCGCCCAGTTTTCCCAGCACCAGTGGTTGAAGAGGCTGTGTTTCTTCCATTGTATGTCTTTGGCTCCTTTCTAACCATAGAATTTAAAAACACATATACCTCCCCCAAGTATTCCATATACAAATATTACCACATGTCCAGGCAATAGTGGATCATGCCTGTAATCCTAGTTACTAAGAATGCTGAGGTCTGAGGACTGTATTTTGTTTGTTTGTTTTTTTGGGTCTGGTCGCGGGGCCTGAACTCTGGGCCTGCGCACTGTCCCTCAGCTCTTCAGCTCAAGGCTAGCGCTCTACCACTTGAGCCACAGCGCCACTTGCAGCTTTTTTCATTTTTGCTTATGTGGTGCTGAGGAATTGAACCCAGGGCCTCATGCATGCAAGGCAAGCGCTCTAACACTGAGCCACCTTCCCAGCCCTGAGGACTGTATTTTGAAGCCAGTGCCTGAACAAAAGTCTGAGATCCTCATCCTCAATTAACCACCCCAAAAAGCCAGAAGTAGAGCTGTGGTTCAAGCACCAGACTTGAGCAAAAAAGGTAAAGGACACCACCCAGAGCCTAAGTTCAGTATTTTGTTTTTGTTTTTGTTTTTTGGGTCCGGTCATGGGGCCTGAACTCTGGGCCTGGGCGCTGTCCCTCAGCTCTTCAGCTCAAGACTAGCGCTCTACCAGTTGAACCACACCGCCACTTCCAGCTTTTTCCGTTTTGCTTATGTGGTGCTGAGGAATCAAACCCAGGGCCTCAGGCATACAAGGCAAGCGCTGTACCACTGAGCCACCTTCCCAGCCCCAAGTTCAGTGTTTTGATACAGTTCATTTTCTCACCAAACATTTACTGAACATGCCAGGTATTGGGTCTAACACAGGAGTACAATTTAGGCCCAGGTCTTGAGGAATTTACAGTCTCAAAGGAGACAAATATATAAATGCATATATACCGGGGTCATAATTCTTTACATTTTGGGGCCAGATATACCTCAGAATTTCAAAATTTTTAGGATTTTTTTTTTTTTGTCAGTCGTGGTGTTTTCCAGGTTTTTGCTGATTTACTGGAGGTAAAAGCTTCACTGACTTTCCTTCCCAGGCTGACTTCAAATCCTGATCTTCAGATCTCAACATCCTGAGTAGCTAGGACTAGAAGTGTGAGCCATTAGTGCCTGGCTTTCCACCTCCATATATATATATAGATAGATAGATAGATAGATAGATAGATAGATGTAGAATTGAAGTCCTGTACTCAAAACTTGTAATTTTTTTCTCCTGATACCTTAGATTATTCATTGAAATATAATTAGTTCATTTGTTTCTATCTGTACATAATTGGGGTTTTAAAAGTAAAAGATGGGAGTAGGGAAAATAGGAGAAAAATGATGGAGGGGTGACAAGTTCTACAAGAAATGTACTCACTACCTTACGTATGTAACTAAACCCCTCTGTATATCACCTTGATAGTATTTTTTGAAAAGGTTAAAAAAATAGAAAAAAATCTTTGGAGTCCCTCATCTTGTTAATTTTTGTTTTGTGCAGGTACTGAAGCTTGAATTCAAGGCCTGGGCACTGTCTCAGCTTTTCACTCAGGGCTGGCACTCTACCACCTGAGGCCACAGCTCCACTTCTGGATCATCTTGTTAATTTTAACTCAGAATAGACACAAAATTAGCAAATTTCTGATATTCGAAACTACACAAAAAGGTTTCAAAGCAGTGCTATTTCTCTTTCCTCTCCTAGTTTACTCAGTTTGGTGCCCCTGCCTATAGCTTATAAGGTTTCTCTTCTGTATGTATTTTTATTCTGTTAAACAGAAAGAAAGAAAAAGGTTTTCTTAAAGTAAAGCTGAAAAATCATGGTTAATTGTCTTCTTCAAAGTTCAGAGCCTCCATTTTGAAGCAGATATAAGGTATCTCCTGAAGGTACTAAAGTAGAATACTGAGATAAAGAAATGTTTTTTTTAAGGTAAGAGGCATAAGTGTTTATATAATAATGTAAATAACTTCAAAAATGGAAAAATGGAAGATGCACTGTCCTCCAAGTTCAATGGCTCAAGCTTGTAATCCTAGCTACTGGGGAAACAAAGAATCAAGGTTCAGGCCGAAGGGGACAGAGGCAGATCTTAAGACTCCATCCCATACAGTGGGCACAATGCCTAGCCAGTTGTGAATCACACAACTGTTATCCCAGCTACAAGAAAAGCACAAGTAGGAGGATCAATGCCCAGGCTGGTATGAGCATAAAGCAAGAGCCTACCTTGAAAATGGTTCAGCATGAGGAATATTAAAGGGTTCCTATATTCCAAAATAGATTGCCATTTTGTGTTTATTTCTAGGTTTGTCTGTTTTGGAACAGAGCCTTGCTAAGAAGCTCAAGAAGAACTCAAACACAATCCTTTTGCCTCAGCCCCCAGAGTACTTGGATTACAGATGTGGATGACTACACTAGTGGTGCCATCTTGTTTGCAATCTTCCAAGTTAGTTACATGTATGTCTCTAGAGAACTTACATTAAAATAGGGTTACTATTTTGGATGGACAATTAAGTCTTCACTACCTAATTTGTGTTAATAGGGCAACTCCTCTCTAGCAAAGGCTCTGATTTCTGACATTTTATAAGGAATGGGGATTGTGAGGAAGATGGTTAATGTAAAGATCTGTGTAATATTATCGATAGGTAATAGCAATCATGCTGGAAAAATAAGCACATATCTCTGGAATGTCTAGCAAATTTTAGGAATATGCTAAGTATTGATTACAGAGCAGTCCTCATGGCCTATAATCATTAAGTGAATGTGACACAGAAAAAAAAAAAAGAACAAGAAAGTCAGAGACAAGGGAAGCTTGTCTTCCTAGTTATTCTAACTACATAACCACTGGCAAGTTACTTAACATCTCACAGACATGTTTTCCTTACCTGTAGAAGTGGATAACATTTTCTTTGCCAAGTTTCTGAGATATAAAAAGAATAATACATATACTATCCCTGGCCCAAAGAACTGTTTAGTAAATAGTTACTATAATAAAGCAGATTAGATTAGTTAGCAAGTGAAACTAACAACACAGCTGCCCAACTTAAACACCTGAAAGAAATCACACCATGGCGGCAGTATTTGGTAAGGCAGAAAAATATCCAATGCTTAGTTACAATTCTTAATTTTGAATGGGTCCTAGCACCTATTTTTAAAACGTAAAATATGTGCTGACAATTAAGCATCCGTGATTCAAAAGAAATAATTCTACGGGCTAACAAAAACCAAAAATTCAAGATAACTTCCCACATAATATGTATGGGTTCGTAGAGGTGAATTTAAATGCATCATAACTCTGATAATCAGTTTCACAATCCTTTATATATCCTTTATACATAAGAGAACTAACAATATTCAATAAAGTTCCTATTTCAGTTTCAAATTAATCTACAGACCCAAAGATGACACGAAAAATCCTTAAATGATATTTTACCAAATACTGAAATATACAAAAAAAAATCAGAGTTCAGGAGTTTAGGATCAGTAATAAAGCAAAAGCTCCATGGCAGAGAGTAAAGGTAAACATTTTAAATCTACATCATCTATGAGAAATACTTTGGGCTTATTTTACATAAAGAGTGTGCACCCTGTCTCTCCTGATGTACTTAAGGGTCATAATCTCAATTTGCAACACTGAGATGGACTAATAATCAACAATTAAACTCACACATGTAATCCTAGTTATTCAGGAGGTCAGCCTGAGGGCAGATCTGCCATTCAAAGCTAACCCTAGCAGGAAAGTCTATGAAACTCCCATCACCAATTAACAACCAAAAAGCTGGATGTGGAGCTCTGGCTCAAGTGATAGGGTGCCAACATTGAGTCAAAATGGTAGGAGACAGTGCAGTGCCCTGGGCCCTGAGTTCAAGCTTCAGTACACACACACACTGCCCTAAGAAAATTTCCTGGCAGGGTGTTCACACTGAGCTGTTTTTGTCAGTGGCTTGGTAGAAAGATATATTCTCCTTCTTTATTGAAAAGACTAGGAGTAGTAGGAAAGGGGGAGGGGTGCAAAATAACAGCACAATACTCTGCTATAAACAAATGAAAGCCTGTTTAAAAAATTTGGAAATTCGACCTTCCTTGCCAAACAGCAATTTAAACGTTGAAGCATCAAGCAATCATTTGTGTTCTGAAACAGGAAAAAAAAAAAAAGAAAAGAGAAAAATTACATGCCAAACTTAAGCATTCAAACTCAAACCTAAAAAATAAAATAAGCCCCTGGATATTATATCATTTCAAAACTAAATTAAGCATGAAACTGCCGGACTTCTTTACACTCAGTGGAGAACTTTTATGAGCTTCCCACGGGGCTCTCCGTCTCTACCCAATGACCCTTCCAAGTCTCCGGGAAGAGCTGCTGTCTTCAGTCCCCAGCTGCCGCTCCGAGGCCAAGGGAGACCCTGTCGGTCTGGGGGACTCCGACGGTTGCCCGCCCTAGCAGCGACCGACACGGGCCGGACCCGCGCGGCCCGCGCCGCCCGTCTGTCCCTCGACCGGAGCGCGCTCAATACGGGGTGATCAGGGGGGAGCCCAGCTCGCCCAGCGGCGCCACGCAGGCTGGGCTCCGTAGGGCGACTCCGGGCACCTCAGGCCCTGCGGGAAGCCCGGGATCCCCGGCCCGGAGATCGACGAACCGCAGCTCCCGCACTTGCCACCTACCTGGAGGAGCTGCCTGGGTCCGCGGGCGCTCGGCCGCCCTTCGAGCGCGGATTCGGGGTTGCAGTCACAGCGGACCACTGAGACCGGAGCCGCCGACCACACCCAGCCGGCTCGCCTGCTTGCCCGCCCAGCAGCCAACTCCGCGGCGCGAAGAACCCGGGCGTGGACGTGGCGTGAGGCGCTAGGCACGGGGAGCGCGGCGCGAGGGGCAGG